CAGAGGCTTTGTGCTAGGAAAATAAATCTGGCAACAACATGCAGGTTGGATTTGATGAAGGAGAAAAGTATAATTATAATAATGTAAAGAAAATCAAATGTTTTGTAATTGTAATGAAGAAATTTGGCCTGAGAAAGAGATAAGGAATATCCCTCTTTCATTCCCTTGGAGAGGTGGGAGACTATGGATAGGTCATATTGCATACACTTTCAGGCATAGTTGCTTTGTCAACTGGGTTTGGCTTTTCTTTATTATAGTGGGAAACTTAGTGGATGGTTGTGGGTCATAGTATATCTGAAAATGCTATGTTAAATGAAAGACAGACATTTTTCCAATATAGTAAAGCTATATAATTTTATATATAATTTTTTAAACTATTGCAGTTGTTAGATAATAAAGATATCATCTAGAATTTTAGCTAAGGGCAGTCAAAGGAGAGAACAGGAATGAGAGACTTTGTAGAGGTAACACTGGTGACACTGGGAGAGGAATCAGATAACATTGAGATTTTAAATCTGGGTGACTGGGAAGACAGTGGCGCCATCAACAGAGCTAGACCAAGGAATCTAGGAACATGAATAGGTTTGGGGGGAAGGGATAACACGAACTCATTTTGTTAAATGTGAAGTGTGGAATTCCCTGAGGGTATCCAGGGGGACGTCCTCCTCTGGGAGCTTTCGTTCTAGTTTAGAACGGAGCTATACCAGAAGGCAACAATTGAAAGATAATGGAGCCAATGAGAGATTCAAAGAGCACTAGGGGTTGAAACTCACTACAATCTCACTCCAGTAGTCCTGAATGGTTATTAGCTTTAAGCATGTGACTTTCTAAATGTTTTAATTAACATACACATTCATACAACACCTACATCCAGGAAACAGTGTGAAACTGTTTGCCACCACAAATTCTGCTTTTGGAAAATAAATTAAATGCCCAATAATCTAATCAAACCGAATGAGCATTTGTTAAGTGCCTACTATTGTGGTAGGCTATGGAGGATTTAGAACCCAAAGTACAACTGTTCCTGCCCTCAATGAGATTCCATTCTATAGCAGAAACAGTATGTTATTAGATAAGTATATACATGGTATTTTGAGGAGCAAAAGTGCGCTGACAACTAACAGAATCAAGAAAAGCCTCAAAGGTTTAATATTTTCTGAATTAATTTAGTCACTTTGGAGTTAATCTTATAACCTCAAAGCCCAAATGAATTTAAACCCATAGAAATTTGCTTGAGCAGACGCCACAGAAATAGGCTGTTTTTGAGCTCCTGAACTGAAATGAGGTATTACCTTCAGTAGGAAAATTTTAAAATCATAGATATATGGCTTAAAGGGCTGTGGGTGGTCAACTGGTCCAACCACCTTTTCTTCATAGAGGAATAAACTGGGGCATATAGAACAAGTACACATGCGTGCGTGTAAGTGTGTGTGGTGGTGGGGAGAGAACACAAACTATAAACAAAATCATCTATTCTTTTTATCTCTTTTGGTTGTCCCTGCTATCATATTTCATAGCCTTTTCCTCTTTCCCCTGTCTTTCTTCTTCCTTTCTCCTCAAATCTTAGCCCTCTCTCTCTATACACATAGTTTTGAGTGGGCACTTTCCATTACTCAAAAGGGAAAAGAAGGTGGAAGGGCAATCATCCCAGCATTCAGCATGCCAATAAAGGTGATATTCAAAATTGTGGGAGTTAATATGTAAAGCAGATTATTGATAGAGGAAAAAAAAAGGAGACTGAGAACAGTGTTAGAGGGTGTAGAAGACAAAGAACAGGCCACTCAGAGGAGCAATTAGAGATACTGAAGCAATTAAATGATACATAACGGATACAGGACGGAGAGTTTTAAGAGGGAGTGGGTAGTTACCAGTGTCAAATGTAAAAACTTGTAAGATGAAGACGAAGAAAAGTCCCTGAATTGGATGATAAGGAAGTCGTTAATAGGCATTTATTTAGCACATTAGTATGTACAAGTTACTCCTGCTTACAAGGAGCTCCCACAACCTTCAAATAACCATCTACATACAAGATAAGGTTAGATAAAACACACATGGGGCATCTCTAGTTGTCCTGATCTATACCTTACCACTAGACCCAGATGGCTCTGGAGGAGAAAGCGAGGCTAGTGACTTTGCACAGCCCTCCCTTACTTAAATCCAATTCACTTGCAAGTCATGGCATCACCTTCCTGATGTCATGGTCATCTCTGAGAACCAAGGACAAACAACGTCATCAACAAATATAAAATAGAAGGTAATATTAGAGGGAATGCTCTAGCAGTGGAGAAGAGGAAAAGTTTCCTGCGGCAAGAGGATTGGAGCTCAGTCTTGAAGGAAGCCAGGGAAGCCATTGGTAACCTTTAAAATCAATCAATCAATCAGTCACTAAACATTTATTAATGTAAGGTACTGTGATAAGCATAGGGAATACAAAAAGGGTCAAAAGAAGGTCTCGCCTTTAAGGCTTTCACTGTCTAATGGGAGAGACAACAAATAACTCCCTACAAACAAGTTATAGACCCAGAAACATTGGGAATAATCAGCAGAGGGAAGGCAATGGAATTGAGAAGTGTAGGGAAAAGCTTCTGGTAGAAGATGGATTCCATCTGGGATTTGAAAAAACTCAAAGAAGCTAGGAGGAGGAGATGAGGAATGCATTGTAGGCAGGGGGCCAGCCAGAGAGAATGCAGGGAGCAGAAGGACAGAGTGACTTGTCTGAGGAACAACAAGGATGCCAATGTCATTCAACTGAAAAACAATAGAAAAAGTTTTAGAAGGCATTTTTATACCCTTTTTATGGTGGAATACCATGAACAGACAGAAGCAAAGCAATAGAGGAATGTGTGTTTGTATGGGAGCTATATTCATTTAGAAACTCAACCTTCTGAAGCTTAAATATATTAAAGTTTCTGATGGAAGAAATTCTTTGAATAAAATTTAAATTTGGGGTATTAAAATTGAATCTCTTTTCTAAATGCAGAATTTGTTTCCCAAATAGCAATACACTGTTTCCTGGAAGTAGATGTTATATAAATATGCATATTAATTGAGTTATTCAGAAAGTTACATGCCTAAAGCCAATTCAGCTTATGCCGGACTATGGGTTAGGAAAGTTGATTTTGTTCATTTTAATATTAGTAGAGTACAGGCTGTAGGGAGGACAGGTTGGGGTAAAATAAACGATGAATTATAAGCAATGGGTTCATCAGGAAATCTCCATGAATGCATGAGGATTGTGATAATATTTGTTATGAGATATTTATAGACAAAAGAGTTGAAATATGGTATCCAACTTGAGTTAGATGATCCTTGGAACCCCCTGTCAAATATGTCATATGCTTGGAATTTTTTTTTTTCTGAGAGTCATTAAAAGCTGTGCCAAGTCATATACTCAATTTAACTCTTAAAATGAACACATTTTTTAAGAAAGCCAGCTAAATTAGGAGTGGATTCTATGGCCAAAGAACAGAGTTTTCTCAATCCAAAATTATTCAGTTTTATGGAGATTAAAAACTATACTTTTGGTCCTATTAGAATCATGGGTTATAACATTCTGGATTGACCAGGCCAAACAAATCTGTATCATCTTGGGTTAAATACAACTATAATTACAGTAGTTTTTCTAAATGCGCCTTTTCCTTGGAACCCATCTGAAAAGAGTCACCTTCTTGATGACATTCTAGGTTGATGAAGATTCCACAGAAACTTTGTGATAATGTTATTTGGTTGCAGCAATAGAGTTTTTGTAAAACATATAACATGTTTACACTCCCCCCACTACTACCACTGCTACCACCACCACCACCACCACTAGCATCACATCAGCACTACAATCACCACTCCACTCTCTCAAAATTCCCAACATTCTGAGATGGTTAGGAGAGAGAATATTTCAGCCTACCCAGTATTGTTGATGAGGCATTTCAAAAGAATTTATTCTGTTTGTTCCCTTGAGACATATAAAATATCGCAGTACTTTGTTAGATTTATTGTTAAATATTTTACAGATCCTAGCAAATTGACTCAACATTACTTTTTAATAATTTCTTCACAGCTGTATGATTGAAAGAGATGTTCTTTCCTCCAAAATGTCTCAATTACCAAGGTACAAAAGAAAATTTCACTTTCCTTCACCTGACGTTTGTTGGAAAGTTTCCTTTCATACACTTAAATAAAAGATAGGACAGATTTCCATGGGAGTTGTGAAATTGTCAGCATCCCTCTGGAGGAAAGCACTTTTGAATTTTTGAGATCACTTAAGTATATTCCCAACTAATTTCATAGATGGGGGCTTGGATAGGGAGGGGTAGATAACTTTTTATTTTTTTTTTCAACCTGTAGTTAGAGAATTCCAGTTATTTTAGCTTTTAAGTGAGACCCTAGGAGCGGAAATGACTTTGAGGGATCCCTTTCAAGTTCACTGGTTTATTATTTTGGAATTTATGATCTGTAATTATTCAAAGTACTACAAAGAGAGGCAGTCTTGCATAGTGGCTAGAGAGTTAATCTTTGGATTCAAAAAGATCTGGACTGAAGTGCTGCCTCTTGGAATGGCGGCTGGGTTACTGTTGTCAAGTTATTAAAACTCTTAGTGCCCCAGCAAATTCTTTAAGACTATAACTTACAGAGCAGGTGTCAATCTATATTAGCAGGAATTCCTCACTGGGAGTTCCCACTGCTGATAAAATTGCAGATCTATACCCCCAAAAGTACAGATACATCTTTATGAATTTAATAAAATTCCTTAAATTTCTTTTGACCCAGTCAAAGGGTATAGACTTCAGACCAAATCATTCATTCGCTGACAGGTTACAAATAACATTTGTGCTAAGAGGTGAAAGCAGATGTACAAACCACAGGAAATTTATTTCCTTTCCTGTGAATACTAGAATTATCACTGGAATCTTGATTATCAGCATTATTCATTATATTTTAATAGAAAGAAACTAAAGAAACTAAGAATCTGTTGAATTAACGTGGGTTTATTATTTCTTTTCCAGGATATTTGCCAATGAATTTACCACCACCATCAGGAACCTTGATTCCAGTAACTCTTCCACCCCACAACTGCACAGATGATGAATTTGTGTGTAGGTCAAATGGCCGCTGTATTGAAAAGATTCAGAAATGTGATTTCAGATCTAACTGTCCTGACAAGTCAGATGAGGCTTCTTGTGGTAGGTAAACTCTTGAATGGATGTTATAGGTTCACCTCCAAATAAGCAACATTGTTTACTTTTCTATGTAGCATACAATCTCAAGGCAAATGTAGAGATGTTCTGCCAGGTTCAGAACAGTGGGTAAATTTCTTAATATATAGTAGATATAGAATTACTGTGGAAGAATAACAAACTTTGGTCCTTCTGAAACTTCAATAAGGTCAAGATAACCTCCTGTGTCCCAAAAGGGGCTAAATGTCTCAGGATTTATGTCCCAATAACAAGTACAGTGGTATCAAGTATGGTCCCATCAACCATGTTTTCCAAACATCAGATTCGTCATAGACTATAAGAGTTGGAAAGGACCTCATCCAGCCCAACAGATACCCAGATGAGAGAAATGATTATTTTTCTATTATTAATAACCAGTTATTAGCAGGTTAGTTATTAGTGGGGTTTTTTTTCTCTGCCTATTTCCTCATTCAGAGACTAGTCCTTGAAGTCTCTAAAGGACTGGGCTGATGATGAGATTGGCCTAACCCTCAGGAACATTCTTGGGTGGGACCTCACCCAACTAGGAGAGTTTTCATCAGATTAAAGTGTAAATAGAATCTCCTCTAGATGAATTCAAGCCTAAAGCATTAGGCTCACTCTTTGGAAACTCCCCCATCTTTCAGCTTCTGTGGTCTGGGTGGAGATGGTTGCCTTGTGCAGATAACTAGAGGCTGCTGAGTCTCATCAAAGAGCTGAAGGCTTTCAGTCTACCTTCTCCTCAACTCCCTTCATTGATTGTTCACCAGTCAGGGTTGACCTCTGCCTATCTCTTCCACCCACTTTTCCAAAGATATTTAAGCATTTGATGATACCCATGGTTCTTTTTTTGGTCACCAAGAAAAACCACTGGCCATTAATTTATTGATTATTTGCCAGCATAATTAATAAGCTTGTTATTAATTACCCAGAAACTCTATCTCTTGGACTTTTCATTCATCTCATTGAGAAGAGTCCCCTTTACAATCTGCCTAAAAAAGGGTGTCATCAAACTTTTGCTCCAAGTCCTTCAGTGAGTGAAAATTCACTATTTCCCAAAGTAACATACTATACTTTGGATCACTCTAATTATTAGAATGGATTTCCTTTTTTTTCAAAGTTGTTTCCTTTTTCATGTTGTTCTTAAATCTGCCCTCCGAGGCCAAGCTGAGAAGGTTTAATATTTCTTTCAGATGAAGACCCTCCAAATATTAGAAGAAAGCATCCATTCCTCTTCCCTCTGTATCTTCTCTTTTCCATGTTAAATAAACACCACCGGTTCTCTCAACTGGTCCTCATATACTATAGGAAGATCTAAGGTTAAATTGAGCTTCGCACACTTACTAGCTATGTGATCCTGGGCAAGTCACTTAACCTCTGTTTCCTCAGTTTCATCATCTATAAAAAGGGTATAATAATAACACTTCTCTCCTAGGGTTGTTGGATCAAATAAAATAATATTTGTAATGTTTTGCATTAAAATACTATATAAATATTATATTTATTTATATTATAAAATACTATATAAATAAGTCATTAATATTAATAAGTATTATAAGACTTGTATATAATACATATATAATAATGATGAGTATTATGTTATAAAACATTATATAAATATTAGTTTTTATTATTATTAATTATAATACGAATTTGAGGCCATTCATCATCCTAATTGCCCTTATCTTGACACTCCAATTAATTGGAATATCCTTCCTAAAATTTGTTGTGCAGAATTGAATACAATCCTCCAGATATGGGCGAACTAGGGAATAGTACATGACTAGTCACTACTCATTCTAAGAAATTATACCTTTCTTAATGCAGCCACATTTTTCTTTTTCTTTTTGACAGCCTTATCATACTTGCAACTCACACTGAGTTTACCATCTCATAAAATCTCTATATCTCTTGCTTACAAAGTGCTGTCAATCATTGCCTCTTCTTTATTATTATCCTTATTAAATGTCATCTAATTGGCTATGACCAACATTCTACCCTGTCAAGAATATTTTGGATCTTGACTCAGTTATATAATCTGCAAACTATCTCTCCTGTATGTATATCATCTGAAAATTAGATATTCCTGCCTTTATCCAAGTCATTGCTAAAAATGTTAACTAGTAAAGAGACAAGCATAGATCCCTTGAGGTAGTCTGTTAGATACCCCCTTCCAAGTTGTAATCAAATCATTAATAAGTATATATTGGATCTGGCTATTCAATCAGTTTTGAATAAACCTAAATATACAATCATCTAGATGACATTTGTTCATCTTCTTTGTAGAAAAGTATAAGAGATTTTATCAAATTCATCACTAATAAATAAACTACATCTCTAGCATTCCCCAGATCTAATAGACTAGTTTAGCAACTGTCAAAAAAGTAAATGGAATTAGTCTATAATGGCTCATTCTTCTTGACCCCAGGATGTAGTTTTATGACCACACCTTATTAGAGTCAAGTTCCATGGTTTACAATTTTTTATACTGTATTCTTTTCTCCAAATTAAAATTTTGCTTTACCCTTCTCAAATCCTGTAATACCTCTTCCATTCTCCACAATCATTAAATGATCACTTATAGTGGTGTAACATTCAAATCTGCCATTCATTTATAGCACTTTTCAATTTGTCAGTCTAATTAATTGAATTCACTTAATGTAGTTAGTGTCTTATTATTTTCCTACTAGTCATTAGGTGATGGATTTTTAGCCATGACAATCAATAAATAAATTCAAAATGTAGATATAACTTCTAAACCAGTGATCTGTGTATAATTGAATTGGTTAGAACAAAGTTCAAAATCAATACCAAATCAAAAGAAAAAAGTTAGAAATATCACATGCAATTTAAAAAATCCTCTAAAGTGACCTTTGAAAATGAGCTGTTGATTCTGGAAAATGGAAAATAAATAAAAGAATAGACATTGATACAGACTGTCACTGTCTCCTGAGCAAATTTAAGTCATAAATTAATTAGTTATCATATTGAGAGCAAAAGTACCCAGAAATGATCTTATTCTGGAAATATTAGATACCATTGCCAAGTAGAGAGGTATAGAAGACAAAAGATGCTATAAACATTGGCTTATACTTTTTATTTGTAGAATATTTGTATATTATTTTTGTATTTGTAGAATTTGTCAGAAGAACCACATGAAAAATTTTGAGCAATATCAAATCATAAAACAGTGGGAAATGGTGGAAAGAAAATCAAGTTTACAGAAAGTCTAAAAAAAAATAAACCAGGTTATTGCAAAACAAAAACAAAAACAAAAACAAAAACCCAATCAATGCTGAAACTCTGGAGAAGGTAACACAAAAATAAAAGTGGAAAGGATTGTCAAGATTTATAGGAGAAACTATATTTCCTATCAATGATAGTACCATCAACATATTTGCACTCTAATATAACAGTTTCTCATGTGCTACATGGAGGAATAGAAATGACACTAAAGAAAATAAAAGCAAGAAATACAGTTGAACTAGGCCGGATATACAAAGGGTAGATCGTTACTGGAGGCAACACAATTTTGGGAGCATTACTATGCCAATTCTAAAGATATTGGAAAGGGGAAGATGCCAAAACCTTGGAAGAAATCATGACTACTATTACTTATAACCATGCAAAAGAAAATTGAGGACATATTAATCACTATTGACCAATATGCATATTTATGGCTACAACATCTTAATGAAAATGATCCAAATTCCATTACAAAAGTGCAGATGTTGAAAGTTATGCTGACTCAGTATCCCATTGTTCCCAGCTCTTTTTATCAATTAGTGCTGGGGGAGGTTTTACTGGAGGAGGAGACACTAAGCCTGCAGTTTTTTGTATCACTTGCTCTTCATCATGTACCCCTACCTGCAAATTGTCAAGTTCTTGCTGCCTTGGCAAGGAACGGAGATGCAAGAATTCAGCCCCATTGACCGAGGTGGACCTGTCTGGATCGTCTCAAAGTTACCTATGAAAGCCATCCCCACCTTGAAGCCATCGTCAGTGCGTTGCTACCTTGACATACTTATATTAAACTCCTTTTAATTCTCTTTGTCCTGAGTTTTTCCTTGTTGATCAAGATGAAAAGCCCAAATGAAGAATTTCCCTTTCAACACAGAGAACACACATATGAGAGTTAAATAAAGCGGAAAACTCCCAAGGGCTTAATGCCAGTTGTTTAAACACTGATGAGGTGAAGAGGAGAGAATAGGTAGGGATGCATCTCACCATGTCTATCAAAGTGAATAAGGCAAAAAACAAAATTCTTTGCAAGCAAATCACTCTTCAAATAGATCAGTGAGCAAGACAAGGCCTCAGCTGTCCCTGACTGTATGTACAGTCAATGACCTTCGTTGCCATTCACTCACCACCATTACATATTAGTCCCAAGTCATTTCTCTCTGCAGAGAGCAAAAGTTCTCTGAACTGTCTTGAGAGTCACTCTTGTCTCATGATCCTCTAGTCCCATCTTCAACTGGGAAAAGAAAATCTTCCCACAAGCCTCTCTGTCAATAAAGAGCTATGTTAGTAATAGGAAACCTAGAAGACATGGGAAGTGCTACTTACAAATATGATTCCTGGTAGAAGCAAATTTGAATGTACTGAAAGCAGGTCAATTCATACCTTTCCAGGAATTTTTCTGTGCCAAAACTTTAAATGTAAGATGGAAATACTCAACAGTCGTTACCAATATGACTGAAGAAAAATTAGTATTATTTAATGGATTGAATTCCAGATCAGAAGCCATGAACTTTGAAAGTCTTATTCCTTTTTCCTCATATAGATTATATATATTTTAATAGGAAACCTGTTACAGTAATGAGAATAATTGAGTAGATGTCTTTCAGCCAGGTATCAAGTGAGTTTGCGTTGTGGCACAGGTTTCACAGTGCCTCTGAAATACTGGCTATAAAGTCCAAATATTAAGTAGTGGCTTATGGCTATCTTGTCATCAAATTCCAGGATTCATTTTTAAATGTATACCCTTGGTGTTATATTCTCTTAACCATGCAAAAATAATTCTTAATGCATCTATACACCATAAATTTTCTAACCAACCTGGACTAAATAATTCATAAAATCCAGACTGGTGGTGACTCACTCTGTATGATTATGATCGGACAATAATTATCTCAAATTAGCAAGGGAATTATATCATGCATCACAGATGGAAGATAATACACTGAATGTTTTTGTGCACAATTTTCTCGTGGGAAATCATTAAGATCACTAATGTTGTTTTTTTTAAAGACCTTAAAATACATCCTTGTATGCTTTTCAAGATCTTCCAGAGTTTGTAATATCCAACTTGGTGACTTTAGAGATAGAATTTATGGTTTTGGCAATCAAACTCTTGATGACTTCAAAGTGTGCAAATGAATTTCCATTTGGCGCTATCAGTATAGCAATCTTGGAACCATTTTGTTTACTTACAAGGGGATTGAAAATAAATGAATGTCCTTTTGTACTGAAATTGACTCTGTGACACTCCCATGTTTGCATGATAAAACTCTTTGTGTGATAAAACTATGATGAATGTGCTCTTGTTGGCTAATTAGCATCTTGGAAATCTGTAGTGACTTCTAGATTATCCACAATTTCTTCCTTGACTGGCAGGACGGAGGAAAGAGCTTTACCATCTCAAATGTTTTCTCAAAGAAGTTGGGTAGCTGTGCATCCATATGGTTATAATAATTGATGTACTTCTATTTGATTTAAAGATGTTCTCTTACAGATTTTTCATTAGAACATTGATATATTTGGAAAATGGTGGCAGCTTTTTGAAACCACTAGTGGATAGTCATAAGAGTGAGAACTAGAAGGGAACTCAGAAGACATCTAGTCCAGTTCCCTCATTTTAGAAAAGAAATTGAAGACTAGAGAGGGTGATTTACTTGCCTAGCATCACACAAATAATAATGGTAGTACCCCAATTTGAATGCAGGTCCTCTGCCTCCAAATATCATACTTTCCATTATATGGAGTCACATAACATTGAATGCTTATCATTAGCAGTGTCCTAAACTATCTTCCATTGCAATAAAAAGACTTTGCATAAATAATATATGAAAGAAATTGCCCTGGAAAAACTGAAAAGCAAGAAGTTAATACCGTATAATAATGTATTTCACAATGATCTATCATTTCATGCTCCTGCAACTGATGAAGACTGCAGACCCTCCCACAACTTCCTAGACATGTATTTAAGAGTTGCTGTCATATTCAAGAGCCTAATTGTCAGTCTTGCAAATTTAGTTAGACTGGACCTTAGACAACAGCTTGTCCCTAGGCCTGTTGTAGTTTGGTATGTCTTGATAGAGGGTCCATAGCCCTTCTAAAGCTAGGGTCACTTCCACACAACAAATAGACACTTTACTGAAGGCTAAAATATATTGAGTAATGCTCAATTCTGCCTTCAATAACTTAGAATTCATAGGTTTCCACATTGGAATTCATAGAATACCATAGATAAAAATTCATAGATTTCTTTTTGCATCATTAGTAAAAGTGGGGAAGGGATTTTATAAGCAAATTAAGAGAATAAAGAAAAAATAGCATGTGTGGAAGAGAGATCAGAATATATGAAATATAGCTACTTAGAAGAATAAGGTTTTAAAGAATATCAGAAATTATATTTTAAAAAATAAGCAAAATTAAATCAATACATTTAAATGGAGGATAACTCATTTCTTAAAATGATAAATACAATTCAATCTTAATTGTTTACTAAAACGAGTCTTTTGCCAAGAAAATGTAGGCTACATATTTTTTTAAAAAATATTTAAAAAGATCATCCACACAATGAGTTTAATTTGTGTCTTCAATTTGAAGTATGTTGCTCAACTAAATCTCAGAAGAAGAGAATTTTTTCTCCACTAAAGTCTTTCAGTGGTACTACATCCCTTCAGCAGTACCCTTCAGTTTTGAAGGCTGCGATGGGCAGCCTTGAGAGGGCATACTGTTTGGCAGGTCCTACAAAGTTAGAAAGGCATTAAGTGCCATCCAAGTGATGGACAGTTTACCTGGTATTCACAAGTCAGCCTCACTGAGCTTGAGAGGTTTATCATCATGTCGGCCACAGGGTGATACATTTTGCTGCCTTAGAAACTCTAGAAGATGATCTACAACTTTGTAGAGGGGTTGCTATCTATATTAGTGGGGTAAGTATCCTCCTGGAGAAAATCAAGGACTTTTGAATTATTGACATAAAAGATAGGTGAAGATCAAGTTGTTATCTACTCATGTGTTTCTTATGACCAAAAATCTTATTATTTTCTTTCTTCAGTTATGGAAGTCTGCAACTTTGAAAATGGAAACCTATGTAGATGGTATCAACCAGAATCGATGGAAAGAATTCAAACTGTCAATACCTTTAGGTGGGGACTTGGAAATGGAGCTAGTATACATTATGGGGAGGAAAACCACAGGCCAACAGTGGATCATACAAAGTAAGTGACTGTCCATTTGGATAGCTTCCTTAGGAAGTATTAACTCAGTTTCCTGGTGTCATAAAAAATAAAGCTAGTTGAGCTAAAAGTATCAGAAGAGCAAAGTTTAGAATTTTAGTGAGGAGTATTTCTATAGTTAAATTTACCTGTCATCTTCCCCTGAAGGACTCTTAAAGAGCATCTCATTCATCTGTGTGTGTACACACACACACACACACACACACACACATTTTTTCATTACTAGAATAACTTCTGGATTTATGTAAAAAGTGGTGGTTATAAAATTATGTAAAACATTTACACACACATATACATACTATATATATGTTATATATACATATATATAGGTGTGTATGTATCCATATCCATATACAATATATGATATATACAGATGTATATACATATATAATATATATGATATATAATGTACCCACACATATACATATATATGTGTATATATATTTATATATGAGACAGACAGACATAATTTCTTATTGATTAATCATTTTATTAATAATGTTAGAATTTTGTTAATAAAGGGGTTAGTGACACTCTCGAATGCCAAAAACCCCTCATGGCAGCAGGCTGACAGTTCATGAGGGTTGGCCATCACCTATGATTGGCTAATAAGTAATGAAAGAGAATGAATGTTACAATAGTGGACCTATTATAACTAGAGGCTGGGGGATATAGCTCTGATTATGCCATTTCTTCTGAATTTACCAGCCTTGGGCAATCTGATCAAAGAATGTATCCTCACCCATACCTATGTAAAGCACAATGGTTTTCCCCCACCTTAGATTGAATTCCTTGCAAGGTTGGCTGGGGCCTGACCAAGATTGAGAAGAAAGTTAATTCATACTTCAGAGACTGAGCTTTGAAATGAGGACTTTAGAAAAAGGGGAAACTCTGGATCTCCCCAAATCCCCAAACTTTCTGAAACTGATTATAAAATGAAAATGGAACTGATATACATATGTGTGAGTTCCATTGTCATCTTATAATATCAGTTTTAGAAAGTTTGTATGGCCTAGTGAATAGAGAGGCAGTTTTAGTGCCAGGACAACATGATTTCTAGTCTCAGATCTGATACCTGCTGGCCACATGATCCTGGGCTAGCCCCTCAATTTTTTCAAAGATCCAGGTGGTTCTCTAAGACCAATAGTGTCAATCTCATATAGTAACAATGGCCACTAAACTATACATAAAGATCCTGGCAGACTGCATATTGACCTAGAAAATCATGCATTAACATTATCTATGTTTTATTGTATTTTTGTTTATTTTGCTAAGGATTTCCCAATTAGATTTTAGTTTGGTTCAGCCACAGTCTGGAGTGTTTTGGGCCACATGTGACCTGTGAGCTCTGTGTTTGACACTTCTATCTAAGATCATAAATTGCAGAGCAGATGCTAGTCTATATTGGGAGACTAAGTTGTTCATTGGGAGCTTCTTATACAGTCAAAAATCACAAATCCAATTAAAAAAAGTCAATCTTTAAGATTTTAACATTTTAAACAAATTTTAATATTTATATTTGTTTGTTTGTTTGTTTTGGCTAGGCAATGGGGTTAAGTGACTTGCCCAGGGGCACGTAGCTAGTAAGTATTATGTGTCTGAGGCTGGATTTGAACTCAGGTCCTCCCAAATCCAGGGCCAGTGCTCTGTCCACTGTGCCACCTAGCTGCCCCTAAAACATTTCTATTTGGAAGCAATAGGGGACTTGAATTCAAAAGACTTGGGTTTGAGTCCTGATGTGTAAACTGTGCCTCAGTTTTTTCATCTGTAAAATAAAAATGCCCATCCCACAGCATTGTTGTGGAGATCAGATAAGATAAAATATCAAGAGCAGCATGATGCAGTGGAAGGAGTACTAATGTTGAAATCAGAAGGCCCAGCTTCCAATTTTAGCTCTGATACTTACCTTTATGACTTTCTCCCTCTCCCCACATCATCCCATTCTCAGTAAAGAGGCAGGTCTCCAGAATAAGAGCATATCTCCCAGCATTGTAGGCATACCCGTGAGGAGTGAGGGGTGATTCCCTAATGTCATTTTGCTCTAGGATCCACCAGTATGCTTCTTTCCAAGATTATCAATTGAGAATATGTTTAGTCAGCCAGTCCTAAGTAGCACTGAAAAAATGAGTATTTACTAAGGTGATAACTGTAAGGACAATTAGTATGAAACACTGTTCTCCCCTCACTGCTTCCCTCCTCTTCCCCAAACATGCAGCACCTTCCCTTCCTCCATTAAGTTTGTCATACCGTCTATGATAAATATACGCAGGATCCATGGGAAAGTAGGCTCAAGTTTAGAAATGGCAACAGGCAAAGGATTAATTAATAGTTCACACTTATCAGAAGTCTTTTTCTCCCATTTGTGGGGAGCTCAAAGCAAAGTGAATGCCCTTGGCTCTTAATGGAGGTAACGCTGCTGTCACTAGGAGATGATCCTAGGATGGTGATGTAGACCAGAAGTCCCAAGTCTCTTAGATCTTTAAAGCTCACAAGGCTTCGTCCTCCCACCTGGGAAAAATGGGAGTAGGTCAGGAGGCTGGTCGAGAATGAAGTGAATAACTATCCATCCCTTATACACCTCCCTCTTAGGAGTTTTACTGGAAACATGTTTGCTCCAATTTCTGGAATATTCTGATTTCAGTGAACAGGATACATTTATGTAAGACTTAGAGGACATAATGCAATCCCTCAGTTGGTTGGAGCCTACTTCCTATCTGGCATCATTACACTTGAGCAAATGCCTTGCAAAGACTTTCCATTTTTAGCCTGACCTATGTTTGATTGATTGAGCATCTTTTCACTTATTTTGAGTGAAATGGGATTAAATTTGTCAACTCCGAGCTTATACACAGGGTCACGGATATGTTAGGTTTTCAGAAGTCATCTAATTCAACACTTAATTTTTCACAGGAGGAAACTGAAGACTACATAGAGAGTGACTTACAAAGCTCATAAAGGCTTTTATGTAATAAAATAAGTGGGAGAACCAAGAACAGAACCCAGGGTCTCTGATTCCAAATTTAGTACTCTTTCCACTATGCCCAACACCTCCATTTGCTCATCTCTAAAAAGTTATAATGGGGCAGCTAGGTGGCACAGTATATTGAGCACTGGGTTTGGAATCGAGAAGATTCTTCCTGAGTTCAAATCTGGCCTCAGACACTTCTTAGCTGTGTGACCCTGGGCAAGTCACTTCACCCTGTCTGCCTCAGTTCCTCATCTGTAAAATGAACTGAAGATGGAAATGACAAACCACTCCAGTATCTTTGCCAGGAAAGCCCAAGTAGGGTCATGAAGAGTCAGACATGACTGAAAATTGGCTGAACAATGAAACAACAAAAAGAATAAGACTTACACTATAATATGTGATTATCAGGGGAATGCATGTTATAAAAATGTGAGTTCTATTTCCTTTAAATATTACATTTCAAAATTGTTTAAATTTTTAAATATGTTTAAAAATTAAAATATCTTGTCATACTTCTTGACCTTACTACCTTTTTTCTCTGTCTACTATATATATATTTTTAATCTGCAGCAAGATTTAGTGATAAACATATTGGCTCTGGAGTCATAAGACCTGTATTCTAATCCTGCTGAAGTTACTTACTACCTGTGTGACTTTGGGCAAGTCACTTAAACGGGTCAGGCCTCAGTTTCCTCATCTGTAAAACAAAATGAGTGGGTTTTATGGCCTCTGTCATCCCATCTAACTCTAAATCTTTGACATATTTGACTATTATGCATCAGAAATTGTGCTAAGTGCTAGGGATAGAAAGAAAGGCAAGAGAACATGTTCCGGCTCTGAAGAAAGTCACATTCTAATTGGAGGAACAACATGCACAAAGTTGTACATATCAGATACATACAGAGTAAGTGGAAGGTAACAGAAAAGGAAGGCCCTTGGAGAGGGCACATGGCCTAGTCTCCTGTACAAGGGGGGATTTGAACTGAGTTTTGAAGGAAACAAGAGATGGAGGTAAGAAGGGAGAGTATTACAGGTATGGTAGATGACCAGTGAAGGGTTATCATAGGCATACGCTTCTCCACTTTTATTTTGCATACTCTTTTCTATTCATCACAATTCCTCTTTCTTCTCACCATGCCAATCACTCCACACATTTTATTGATGTGGGTTAAGATGTCTAATTTTCTTTTGCTTTTCTGCAGTCAACTGACCTTTTTTTTCCCCCTTTCCTAAAACACAGTAGCTAAATCTCTTGCCTTCTAGGTGTTAACAGTTTTATTGAATAAGCCACATGTACTGTGTTGGGAGATAAAATCTTTCTCCTTCCCTTTGTTGACATCATGGAAACCTTGTTGAAAGCAACATTGGAATCCCAAGTCACATCCAGGAAGTACCTTGTTAATAACGGTGTGTTAGATCTTCCTCTATACTTCAGTTTTATATTCTATCAGGCTGAACCTATAATACTTCAAAGAAAGTCAGATCTGCAGATACTGTCCAGCTCCTATTTGCCTCTGGCCAAAATAGGGTTACACTCAAGGAAAAACATTTTACTGAAAGCGTATAGTTAAAGTGCGTCTCACGTAACTCTTTTTTCCTCCTTTTCTCTCTGACTTTGTTTGGTATCTCTGTTATTTTTCTGCCCATTAAAAGTAGTTGTAGCTAATCATCTCTTGATTTAAAGCTCAACAGCATCAATCAGCATGCTGAAATAATATACAACAGCAATGATTAATAACATTGTGTTTTGATCATGGCTTGACAGCTGACTACTGTTTGTTGAAATTTCACTGTTGGAGTTTTGCTTGTACTGCCTTGGACTGGCAAAAAATGCTGGGTTAATTGACAATTCTTCTGTGGTCCATCTGAACATGCCATAACTCATTACCATTCTATCACATCTCCATAAATCTTGTAAGTTTGAAAGAAAAAAAAAGATCATCTAGAATCATATTCACTCTTAAGTGATAAATAATAGCTAGAATAATAAGAGCTTTATATAGAGCTTACATAG